ATAAAAAAAAAAAAAAAAAAAAAAAAAAAAGTCTTAGCCCATATCAAGTAATGCAGCAATTTTAGTGTTAATTTGAATTTTTAGATACTTTAATTTTTTACAGTACACTTACACAATTTTTATTCCTGTAGTAGACTGGCAGTGCTCTACTGAAACGCTCTTCATTTTTTACAGTTTATTGCAAGTTCCACTGCATCACATACAAATTCGATTCACTCATGTCTAGCTGTTTTGTGGATTCAAACTCATAAGAACCCTGCTCTTTGCTAGCAAACCTGCAGACCACTAATAGAGTTTTTCTGTCTTTACAGATTCGAGTGGTGAATGCATTTCGTAGTTCCTTATATGAAGGTTTAGAAAAGCCTGAGACACGAAGTTCAATTCACAATTTTATGACGCATCCCGAGTTTAGAATAGAAGATTCCGAGCCTCATATTCCCCTCATTGATGATACTGATGCTGAAGATGATGCTCCAACGAAACGCAACTCTACTCCCCCACCCTCTCCCAATAAAAATAACAATGCGGTTGACAGTGGAATTCACCTTACAACAGACATGAACAAGTCTGCTACCTCTTCATCCCCAGGGAGCCCGCTACATAGTTTGGAAACATCACTCTGATCGTAAGCTGAATGTTAACACACTAGCTGCATTGTAAAGAAATTGAAACTGGGTCTTTTCACACATTGTGATAGACAAGATTGTATTCTTGTCCTGGACTTCAACAGAAGACACTTGTATGAATGTAGATTTATTTTTTTAAAGAAGCTTTCTGCCAGACTGGAGGGTGCTTTTTTGGGGGTGGGGGTAATAATGAACTTTGACAGAAACAGTAACTCGGCATAAGTGACCTGCGGATCATCAGTTGTACTTAAGAATGGTCCTGAACAGTGTGTTAGCAGGGCTTTAGTTTATCTTGATCCTTTTGAAGCGGGGCGGGGGGCTGGGAAGGGCAAGGAGGCCCTGGATCATTGAATTAATACTTTAATTTCTGCTGTTGGCTGTTAATAATTTGGATTATTTATGTTTATAAATGATGCAGATCTGTTTACAAGGTTTGTAGATACTTTTTTGTTCCTATTCATAGATGGGAAGCTTCCTTATAAATGATGCAGAGAAAAGAAGAAAAAATTAGTCCTTCAAATACTGCTGTATTTTCAGGAAAAGGGTGTTTCTATTGAAACTGTACTAAATTTTGCCTGCAATTTACCTTGTTAAATATTTGTAGATAAATTGCTGATACTAATAGCCAAATAGATGACACTAATGCTTTGTAAAAACATGAGCAGTGGTGTTCTAATGAAGTTATGGCCTCTGTCCTAATTAGTTTCTTAAATACATTTACTACTTAATGGTTTTGAAACAACTGCTTAATTTTTAAATTTTGAGAAACTTACTGAATAACTTTGTTTCGAACTTAGTAGGATTGTTTAATGCAGGACATCAGTGTGATGGAACTTGCTTGAAATACTTTTGTTATCTCAGGCAAAATGGATTAAATCAAAATACATCAGAACCTTAGTCCTTTTTGTTTTTGTCTAAACATGTTTAGCTTAGTGCTGTCTTTTGAACTGTGAGTGGAACTGTGATTTTTTTTTTTTTCCTTCCTAATCCTCTAGAACCTTTCATACTGCATGAGGGCTGTTGGCATTTTGAAAGGCTATTAGTAGATAGCTTACATAGGTTTTTTTTTTTTTTTGAACTGTTTGTAAACATGAATAAATCTGCCCTTTTATTAAAATAAATATGCAGCAATGGTTTCTAACAGATTTTTCTGAGCTCCTTCACTGGAATTTCTTGAAAGACTACTTTTTATATTACTGGTAAATTGAATTTCAAGATGGTAACAGCCCCTTCAAAAGTAGTACTTTGGAACTGGTATGCTGGTGGCTGCCCTACAGGATGGAAGTAAATTTTAAGATGTCCCAAAAATCTTCTTTTGAGCTAAAAGGATACTTCTGGTGAATAGTTCTGGCTGAAAAAATGTATCTAGAGACTAATGCATTGTTGTGTATTGCACTCCTCAATAACAGATGAACTGGGTTAACTAATATGGCTGTAGCTATCTGACTAGTATTTTGCATGTTTAGTTGATCAGTAACCCTGACACCAAAACCTGATCTGGTCCCAGTAGCACTACAGTTGTCATTGTCTGCACCAATTGGATATTTGAATAATCTTATTTCTTCCTAGCTTTTTCTATCTGTAACATTTACCTTGTTCTCTAGGCTTGTTTTTGTTGGGGAAACCAATCGGTCTGAATTCTAGTGATATTCGTTAGCTCAGATAATTGTCAATTTTCATTTGATGTGGCCAAGTGGAAGAGAACCTTTTTTTGAGTTTCACCTCCATCTCTTCCACTCCTCTCCCCTCTTTCATTTGCAGAACCATGGAAACGGGTACAATAAGAGTTCACACGTGATTCAACTTTTTCAACCATTGTAGACTTCTGTAATAGCTAAACTAGCTGCACAAAGGACATCTTTTGCCCAAGCCTTGAAGATAGCCTTGAATGATTTAACTTAATTATTGGGGGAAGAAAGAAACTTAAAACATGCTGCAGAAGCAATTTTAGTAGGCTTTAAACTTAAGAGTGAGAAGATGATTGCTCCTATGGGTGATGTGTATAAGCGTGGGTTTGGAGACCTTGAGTGGGCAATTTTGCATTCATCCTGGGGCTTCAGCCACTGTATCCCACTGTCAACCACTCCTTCAACTTACTTTAAGTCAACTAAATGCATCTGACTTGGAAAGAGAGCCTTCCTTTCCAGGCATGGGATTTGTACTCTTTTTTTATCTGGCAATGTCTTCTGAGCCTTTCAAAAATTCCCCCTGAAGTGATGAACTTAAACTGGAAAAAAGCTGTTTTGACCTCTCGAGTATCTTGTCATTTGAACATGACTGCTTAATAGTATTGCTAAGTAACTTCTTCCTGTCTAATAGTCATGGTTGTTAAACACTGTTTAAGACTGGATTGTACACATGCCTTTTGAGGAAAACACAGATGTGTAGGCCTTGTACACAGTGATCCTGTCTGAGTCTGTTTAACATGCGGGACATGAACGCTGGCAAGTATAAGTGAAACCCAAAATTGGGACTACTTGCTTAAAAGGGAGTCTAATTCCTTTTTTACTGCTGTGATTTCAACAAACCATAACATGTTACTAAGATTATTTTAAAAGGAAAAAAGAGTTATCACTTGACTGCTGAGCCCTTCATTACCTTTCTGATTGTAAGGTTTACTTGTCTTGCTCATTTGTAAATGAAATAAATGTGCTGTTCATCTCGGTCTGAATGGGGACTAGAATATCTGAATGTCAAATACAGTACTGTGTAATATTTTTTTGAAATGCATAGCTTTACTAAAAGTATCTGAAATGTTCAACATAAATTTGGTTATTCTGTAAAATGTGAATTGTACCATGATCAAGCAACAGTGATTCTGTATATTGTACTGTACTCGCATTTTATAAGACTTACTTTAATGTTTATATCTCTGTTCACTGAAGAGTGGTTACTAACCTAAATAATTGTAAATAGGATGCAAAGAATTATATAAAGACAGCAAGCTGCATTTGATCTAAAATTTGGTATTTAACTGGGGCAAAAGTAGAGTTGGTGACTGCATGAGACCTCCTGGCTTTTTTGTGTACATTTGCCCTGATAAGATCTAAGTTATGGAATAGCCTCTTTAGAGAAATTGGGGCTACTGGGGAGTGTTTAAAGTCCACCAAAACAGAAATAAATACTTATGGAACAATTTTTCCCCCTCTAGAACTAAGCATGTTTGAAATGATTCAGTGAATTTTAATGCCAAACTCTACTGACACTTGTCAGTTATCCCTTTAAGTTTACTGTTCAAAAGTCTCTGCAGACTCAAGACGGTGTTTGAGATTTACAATTAGAAGCTTGTCTGAAGGGTCATAACACTAAGGGGTACCTTTTTAGTTCTGGAGAAACTGAAGCCATTGGCAAGGCAATTTCTGACTAGAATGTAAAGTGCAGGGTTTTTTTTAATGTAACTACTTCTAATGAGCCTCCCCTTTTTTTTGAGGGCTATGTCTGATCCTCCTGTTGCTTGGAGTCCCTCTTATTCAGACCAATCTCAGTTAGTTAGCTCTTGAGTACCCCTGTTGAGCAAGGAGGACTAATGGTTTCTCTTCAGCCTTCTAGTCGACAGAACTGCTGCAAAGAGAATTCTTGGCATGTCTTCCTGTCGTCTTTTTGACTTCCATGTTGTATAGGAAGTACGTGTGTGTGTGTGTGTGTGTGTGTGTGTGTGTGTGTGTGTGTGTGTTTGTTTACTGAGTCTGCTCCAACAACTCTCAAGAATATGGCTTTATCTCTTGTAGCTAAAGCATATTCCTTATGTAAAGGCCTCGTCCACTCATACAGTCCTCTTCTAAGCCAGGCATTATTTTTTCCTTCAGCTCAAGCTAACTGGGATGGATATGAAAACCCAGGCAGAGTCTGACAACACCAATACTTGACTCAGATTACAGAAGCTGTGGCAACACTACTCTAGAGTGAGTGCAATGAGGACAGTGAAACCTAGCAGAAAAGGTAAAGCGCATTCCTCAGTGACCTGGGGTCTTGCGCATGGCTTTCTTAGTACTCGTGCCGTCTTCTCTCTCCCTTCCCGCTCTGCTCAAGTGCCGTAATGGAAAAATGACTACTAGAAGCTATAAACATCTCTCTCCTCTCCCTCTCAGAAAAGCCCTTTTGGTCTGTGTCTAATACAGTTACTGCATAGCTACTTCCAGAAACGATGCGTGGTTCCTAGTGAGGGTTCCAGGAACCCCTTGTGCTTTTGGGCTTATTACTTCCTTTGGTTGACAGCAAGCGATGCTGGGGTAAAGGAGGAACATTAATCACTTGATTTACTTTTATTTCCCCCTCCCCTTGTCCTCTCAAACTATAAGTTCCTAAACTGCAAAGGGAGCAGCCTCCTTTTATTACCTCTGTAACTCCCCCTAATGAAAGAAATATGGATTCCCCCCCCGGATCAAGGTAGACAGTAATTTAACTCTGTCTAGAATCTCTGAAGGAATATTTTACCCTGGTTCAAATGACAACCTAGTATTACAGCTTGAACAACTAATACTTCAGCCTGATTCAGTATATCTTTGAAGCAGAGCTAAAACCTTTGGTAGAAGGACAAAAGTACCTCTCACAGAAGTAATGTCATGTCCTGTGACAATTCCTGATTTTGAGTATGTGTGCACACAATGAAGCAGTGTGGTCATCCTGCAAAACCTTCCCTTTTGTCTCCTGATTTTAGTAGGATGTCATTGCTTAATGCACAAATCTTAAGCCCACTGTAAAAGCGTGTACTCTATCTGTAGACACCTTCCATAGTTTTGTCCCTTCCTAATGCTTTTAAGTTGACTACAACCTTTTTTGTGGCAACTGCTACACTGAGAAGGGATCTATAGCTATTCGCTTGGAAAGCAGCCCAGAAGTGGGGAGGTGGCTACTGTCCCTTTTTAAGATGGAAGTGTTCTGAAATTTTGCTTGGCAAAAGTGGTGACAGAACACTAAAGAATTCCAACCTTGTCCAAAACTAGGGCAGGAGGCCCTCAGTGAACGAATGTTTCCTTGTGTCAACAAGATCTGTAGCTTCACGCACGTGCGGGGGAGTGGGGGAATAAACATGCCCCTTAGCAGACTCTTCCCCAATATGTCTTGTAATGCCTGATGCAACTTCTAGAAACTGTATGTGACCTTGCTGACTTTAAGACATCTGGTAACCTTAAAGTACTTTTTTTCCCTCTAAGCACCTGGTATGGATGACTTTTTTTTTTTAAATAATTTTTACTCCCTCTAGCATTGTGAAATGAGAAATTAGAAGTGTCAGTATTTTTGTGGAGGCTAATTTTTTCCCTGCTAAACTCCTCCTTTCTTTCCTAGTGTTGTATATCTTTCCCAAGCTCTTTAGCTCAGTGTTTTTCAACCTCATTGGGTTCAAGTCACTTCTCAGAAAATTCCATTTCTTTAGCTTTTGCTCACTTTCTGACTGCAAGAAACTAATAGAACAGTTCTCTTGAAAACAACTTGGAGACCACAGTAGGTCTAAGTTTTTGACACTGAATTTACTATTTGAAATCTGAGTCTCACTTGTGAATTGTGTGCAGGTGTTCACACACCAAATGGTGCTAATAGTGAGTGGCACCCTTGAAAGAATCTCATGACACCTGTGCTGCAGTAGCCTGGTTGAGATTCACTGTCTTAGCACTCAGGCTAGTTATTGCAAAGTTACTAATTTTTTTAAGGTTTTTCTTGCTCTTGTGTTTGGTGTCTCTTTGGGGGGTTTTTTAGTGTTTAGATTTTAATAAATTTTTAAGTTGTGCTTTTTTTTTTGTCTGAGTGTTCCTAATGAGTACCACCATTAACAGAGGTGAGTGTGCTTGGAATGTGTAGCTGACAATTCGGTTCCCATTGTCTTAAGAACTAGATTTTGTTTACGGTGAAGTTCTACTGTTGAAGGAATCCAAATACTCGGACTATTTTTTTTGCTGGGAAATGTTGCATTCCTTTTGAAGGGTTTTGTTGGCAGGACAGAAGAAAGCTAATTGTATGATCCTCTAACACCCTCAATTATGTTGGCATACAAACTAACTTCCCCAAGCTATTGGACTACTGTTAGCCCTAGACATACCAAATGCAGCCTGGATGAGAGAAGAGTTTGATTCTCTACTATCTGAAAGGGATCCCTCAACAAAGGTTGGCCAGAAGCTATAAGATTCTGCTTCCAAGATGAGGTTTATTTTCAAGAAGGGAAAGCAAAACCTCCTTTGGATATGAGCAGCCATTGTTGCTTCTGAAGCTTTAGCTTTCTATTTCAGATAGTAGTCCCCTCCCCAACCCCAAAACAGCCTTTAGTGTAATGAACTAGACTACACAGGGAAAGTAATGTGACTTTTGTGTGTTGTTGCAGCAGGCCACCCACAATCCCAGAATTGCCAGATGTCTAAAGTAACACTGCAGTGATAATTAAATGGAAAGTCTTTTTGCACCCTGAAAAACACATATGCTACATCCTATAATGTTGTAACAGATCCCATAAGAAATGGGACAGCCTTTCTTAAATTTATCTGCCAACAAACAAATCTGTAGTTTTTTCTTTTTCACAGAAGTCAACAAGCTTGCACATTGCTCAAGCTTGCCGCCTTAAGGAGGATGTCACTGATTTGCTTTAACTTCTATTGCAGAGACTACAGTAAAAATAGGTGATCAGTGAAGATCCAATTTGGGTTAAGCTGCAGTGACCTGAGAGCACCTGGTTTTGAAGTTTAGTCATCTCTTGTGCCTTGTACTTCAAAAATGTGTATTTAAATTCAACTCCTGATCGTTTGAGGTACAAAAATAGAGGCCTTGCTTTGGAGAAGCAATGAAGTATCACTGATCATGCAGGCCTCTCCTTTTTGGTCACTTGGTTTGCTTCTATAGTCTCCTTTCTGGTGTACAAAGATTAAGTCCATCATAAGACTAGATTAATTCCTCAAGCGTCCTTACAGAGGACTTTAATGTTTGTCTCTCGTAACTCTTGTATGGACCTCTAACGGACACTGTCTGCTGTTTAAGGCCAAGTAAAGCTCTAATCGCACCCACCTATGTCATGTGGAATGTAACTTGTACAAATAATTTATGTGCCCTTGAGAGAATGACAAGCAAGAAGTTTTTATGTTGCTGCAGTTACCTTTTGTCATGAAGTCTTCCATGTCACTTCCATTTTTAAAAGTACCTCTTAACTTACCAGTTCCCCAGTAATGCAACTCTAGCTATAAAAAGAACAAATAAACCAAAAAAGCACCCAAGTGATGGGCACAACCAAGTGGTGAGAAGTTTTTTCACACTGATTATATAAAATATAGCAAAGCCATTCTATAGTCTTAGCCTTATAATGCTGCATTGCTAATGTTTGCATTACCGTAATGACTAGGAATCCTGGTCAGACCACGACTCCAACTGTGCTATGCATTTTATACACTAGAATCTGTACCCACCAAAAAGCGTACAATTCTTTTATGAAAAAGCATATTGAAAGGGGTGTGGGGAGGGGGGAAAAGGACCATGTGTTAACATTATTAGGCATGTACCTGGTAGTTGAACATCAGAAGCTTAACTACTATTAAATAAAGGAGGAATTTAGACAAACTATGAGGCTGCTATAAAAAGAACAGGTGAGTCCTGGTCTCCCATTAGCACTCCTAGTCATTATGGTCTGCCTTGCTAATGATGTTTGCATTACTATAGAATGGCTTTGCTAAAGGAAGAGATTTGCAAATTTGGTTTGAAAAAACTACTGGCACTCAATTGTGCCAATCACTTGTGTGGTTTTTTTGTTCTTTTTTATAGTTGCAATGAGGCAGCTGTTACAAGGGTTATCCTGCCAGAGTAGAAGAGAAAGCACAAAGATGCTTTAAAAAAGGTAAATGGACAATGGGCTGATCAAAGATGATGGGTTGCCCATTAATACTGAGAGGATGAATGGATTGGAGAAAAGGTGAATGGCTTTTAAATTAAGACTACTTTTTCTCCATCACAAGTTGTTAGATGGAAGGAGAAGCAAAA